AAGATAAGTGAGTTTCAATGAGTCACTCATGGTGATGTGATAACCAGCAGTAAAAGTGGTTGGTAATCAAGCTGTGGACTCTGCCTTCAGCATAATAAACATTACTGAGGAGAGGATCTCCCTTAAAAGTTTCTGTAGCAAATTTCAGCTTTCAAGCCGTTGTAATCCACACTCAGACGCTTCCAAGAACATTTTTAGTTCTACCATGAAGTTCCGTTTTTCATTACATGATTTTTCCACTGGCCATGTATATGCTAATCATGTGCTTAAAAAATAAAACTGATAAATATGGATAGATTCCATGGCCCTACTTCTTTTCTCTGCCACGGCCCCAATTCTTAAGAAAAAAAAAAAAGAAAAAAATAGACGAGTAAAGAATTTCTCATACGGATCCAAAAAAATGTTTTAAAACCCAGAGACAGGTAAAACCAAAACAAAGGCAGTACGTACAACCAGATTAAGATAACCTCTGTAACTATGTGTAAAGTCTAACAAGTACTATGCACTTTCTCGAAGGAACAGAAAAAGGGGTGAACTTTCTCAACGGAAATGAAATACAACCAAGAATATATACATAATACGTCAGCAAAACCGTAATCGTAGGATCTTAACAAAACTTCAAACCGCCCTTTTTAGCACCACTAGGCTGAAGAGGGTGGGGGGTGATAGCAGTTCTGTAAGGATCAAGACGACGAACGAGGAGATGCCGGAGGCACGCAGGTGGAGGGTGTAAGCGCCACCTGCACTGGCCGCCTTCCAGTTCACATTCTGAGCCTTATCGGAATTCTGCTTCTCAAAGTCCGCACCACACATTTATTCCCACCTTACTCTATTTTGACGTTTATGATTTCTCTTCTTTTACTCCAAAGCAAAAATATGCCCCCAAACTGCTCCGATCAAGGTTTTCTGCGGTGGGGAGGTGGGGGTGGGGAGGGATCGTTTGGGAAAAGCCTTTCCTAGGAAGCTATCAGACCGAATATTAGCACTTGGAAAAGTTGTACATGCATTTTCCTTACTTACAAGTTCCAGCAGGGCCTTAAACGGTCAACTGTCAACGTCAGGGAGCCCCGCGGGGTTCCTTCGGCTCCGCGACGCCAGGCTGCACCCCTCCTCGGACGCGGCGGATCCAACGTCGTCCCGGGCCCCGCCCACGTGACACGACCTCCGCGGGGAGGGGAGGAGCACGGCATGCCGGGACTGGTAGTCGGCCCGCCCGCCCGCCCGCCCGCCCTCCCGGCGCGCCCCCCCGGCGCGCCCCCCCAGCGCGCCCCCCAGCCACCTGCCCGAGCGCCGCCGAGGGGCGCGGGGAGCGCGCTCCCGCCGAGCGGCCGGCCGGCCGGGGTCCAGTTTCCCCGCAGTCCCACGGGAGGGCGCGCATCTCTGCCAAGACAACCGCCAACCCCAGGCCTTAAAAATGTAGAGGCTGCAACAACCCGTGGAAGCAACTCCGCGAGGCGCACGACCCACTACTGGCAAGCACCGGTCGGACGTGACTTGGAACCGGCCTCTCCCTTTACTAGGTGTGTCCTCAAACGAGCTGCTTAATCTAAACCGCAGTTTGCTCCTGTCAAATGGGAACAAGGCTCCTACATACATACCTCGTAAGGTTATTGTGAGTAAATGTGCTAATTAACGTATGTAACGGTGTAGCTGCTAAATGACAGTAGTAAATGTTGAGTAACAAATTGCTATTTAATTCTATAAATGTGAAGATTGAGAGATGACAAGGAATTTACCCTAGAAGACACAATCAATGGGTCAGGGGCAGTCAAGTCTAAAATTCCTATTCTACACCAACTCAAAACACAGAAGAAAATCTCTCTTAAAGCTTACTTTCTTTTTTTTTTTTTCCATCTGTAAAGGGCATTTATTCTAAGAATCTAAAAATCTGGACAAAGAATATTGAACTTTTTAGAAAAAGCCTACATGGGATTTCGTGGTTTCTTCCTAATACATTAACAAACCTAGTAAGGAGAAAAGAAAAACTTTTAAAACAGTATCTCTCCAGTTTGTCTGCAGTTATGTGACTTAAAATATTCCTGTTCAAAAGTAAATAAAATATTCCTGTTCTATTGAGGTAAAAGCTGCAAACTTTGGTAAAGTTAGAAAAATCAACAAATCATTCCAAAAAACACAAAACTGAAGGAGAAAAAAAATAAAAAACATGAAACAAAGACACAACCAAACCCTAAGTTATAGCTTTCTTGGTACATATACAATAACTACAAAAAAATTCATTTAAAAAAAGTACTTAAAAAAAAAAAACCAAAAAATTCCCTCTTATAATTCTCAGTTGGTGAGCTGACCATTTAATTGAAAGGATCCACAGAAATGCAATCACCCCCACTCACTCACCCGGAGTGGATTTGCACGCAGAAGGGAGAGGGAAGAGAGGTCCAAGTTCCAGGCTCTTTTCAGTTTTGCTTTGAGGGCTGTCTCCCTGTATGTGCCTCTCCTCTGCTCACTCTGGAGGAACTCAGCCATAAGCCCTAGGGAGCAGTGAAGTAACTCCCCCACCAACCCTGGGGGCCTCTTTCGAGAGGGAACTTTCTCAGAGTGGCCCACTCTTGTGGTTGCCCCAATTCCTGTGGCCAGAAGAGCCAAGTGCTATGGGCCACGCTGCCTCAGCAGGATTGGGCCTGATCAGGCTGTGGGGTTCCCAACTTTGGCCTCACTTCTACACATCTCTCTCCTTCCTGAAAAAGGCACTTAGGTATCATACCAGATCCTTAAGGCCCAGCAGCTACCTCCTTGGGATAGACGAGATCGGGCACGTTCAGGGTGGTATGGCCGTAGACACCTCCTTGGGATAGAAGTGGAATTTTATACATTTTTCAATTAATAAATATTAAAAACAAAAAAAAATGACCAATACCCTATTTTACTTAAATTTTTATCTGACTCCCGTAGAATGTAAACTCCAAGGCCGGGAGGGTCATCTTTTGCTCTATTCTTTCACTGCCATATCCCCAGCACGTAGAACAGGGTCTATCTAGTACACAGCAGACGCTCAAATATTTATTCAGTTAATGATTCTTCAGGTAGTGGTGATTTCTGGTGCCTTCATCTCTCAATCATTCTCTTTCCGCAAAAGTCATAGGATATGGGAACACTCCTAGAAGCTGTTTAATTGACTGTAATTTTAGATTCAACAAAGAATAAGTGGAAGAATTATTTACTATACCCCATTCACTTCGTTGAATTTAACTTTAGTTAATTTTGGTATAACATTTCCAGCTAGGCGCTTTCATTTGTACTTTGTACACTTTCACAGTCTTTAAAAGATTTTTCCCATCGCTTGTGAGAATGGGGAAAAACGGAGGTGGCTACTATTCCTTTAGTTTACTTTGAGTATTTTAATCATCTTTAACTTATTAAAAATAACAGTGTTGCCCTTCTACATAAAGTTCTTTCCCTGTCTGATCAGAAATGTGATTATGCACAATGAACTGATGGATGCTTTTCCAGTAAGTAACTGGATTTCTGCTTACTCTAAACAAAAAAATCAAATACAGAAATCACGTTATTTTAAAATAAGATGTTTTCTTTAAAAATAGCTGCATTCGAAATCCAGTGTCGGGGCAGCCCAGGTGGCTCACTGGTTTAGCGCCACCTTCAGCCCAGGGCGTGATCCCAGAGACCCGGGATTGAGTCCCACGTCGGGCTCCCTGCATGGAGCCTGCTTCTCCCTCCGCTTGTGTCTCTGCCTCCCTCCCTCCCTCCCTCCCTCCCTCCCCCTCCCTCCCTCCCTCCCTCTCTCTCTCTGTGTCTCTATGAATAAATAAAATCGAAAAAAAAGAAAAGAAAAAAAAATCCAGTGTCACCAACACTGGATTTCTAGACCTAGGCACAACAGCTAGGTATATAAATTGATGCCAGCCATTTAATCTGAATTTTTTGTATAGGTCTTTCCCTAATAAATGGCAAATTCCCTAAGGGTAAAGAGTACATATTAATTTAATGTATACATCTATCAAACACCTATTCTGTGCCAACATAGGTATAGGTATTGGACTCTTACCTGTCTTGTCTTGTGATCCACTTAATTCCTTTGTATTTTTCAAATTCCCAAACTAATTGTCTAACATCCAGAGCTCATGCCTCTTCCCGGTACTGATGACCTGCAAGCCTCTTACGCTATTGGCTACGAATCCACTGCCTCTAACGTCACGTCTTTGGGGCCACCCTTAGAGTCTAGAAAACATCCACAGCAGAAAATCTGGTTTGACAAGAGTTTAGCTTTACCTCAAAGTTAAAGTGATCAAGGCTGGTATTTGTAACGTTGCTAGGTGTGGGAGGCAGGAATGGCAGCGCTAGAATTATGCATTCTTATTACCCAAAGAGGGGGAAAACCCTAAGCAATATATAGGTGTTCAAGTCATCGTGCCCCTGATTTCAAGATTCCTCATTTGTTTCTTGGGAAAGCCAAACCCGTAAGTTTCCTTCCTGAGCCTTTACAAGAATCCTGGGTAACGCAGTGAACTGACTATTCACAATAATACGAACATCATCTTCTCTGCTCAGTAACACGTGGTAGAACCGCTTGTCCTTTCTTTTTAAAGATGCCCCCAAAACCCGGAGTTCCTCAAGTTTGTAGCCCAGCTTCTACACACACACACACACACACACACAAAAAAAAAAAAAAAAAAAAAAAAAAAAACAACAACAACAAAAAACAAAAAAACTGCACCGGTGAATGTTTTTACATGCGCTAATAACGTTCATAACGTGCACTTTGCACATCGGCACTACAAAGGTTCACATCCTTTAATGACGACATTATGAGGCTTTTATGATGTTTAAGAGTGAGCCACAGTAACAGGCACCTTATAAAAGAAATCGTTAAAGAAAGGCCAGGCATCGCTCAGTGTACCGATCGTCGCAGCAGTTTCTCCAAGAAGAATTAAATCCCACAATTTCTTTCCACCCCCCCCCCCACGCGCCTCCCCCCAAGAAAAGACAGCATTGGCAGAAGTTGTCTTCGCATGGTGACTCCTATAGAAACACTTGGAAAGGCAGGGCCAAGGCAGCGGTCAAATCAGAGCGACTCCGGGGCGGCGAGGACTCCGAGCTGGGCACCCGACTCTCGCTCGGGCTGCCTTCCCGGGGGCTCGGGGGGCGGGGGGCAGCACCCGCGCCTCCCGCGTGGGCAGCGGCGGCCGCGAGCCGCTGGGGCCGGGGAGGCAATCGGCGCAGCCGGCTGTCCCCTCCCCCCAGGCCAAGGACAGCGACGTCGTCCTCCCGCTTCTCCTCCTCTTTGGTGCCTTCAGCCAGGAGGCGGGAGTGACCCGCAGCAGCTGACCCGGCATCGGCACTGCCTCTCTCTCCCACAGCCCTCAGGACGAGCCATGGGCCCAGAGGCGGCTTCGCAGCACCGCAGCGACGACGCAGGCGGCGGCCCCGGCGCCTCTCAACTGCCTCCCTGACCGCCGCAACCACACCCTCGCAACAGCCGTCGCCACCAACGCCAGGAGAACCGACGGACGCGCCCCCCCGCTCCGCAAACCACCTTCGCGATCGCCTCAAGCTACGTCAACAACTATGGCGGGCGACGGGCGGCGGGCGGAGCTGGGGAGGGAAGGCTGGCGGATGTACGTCACACCCCGCGCCCCCATACGGGAGGGAAGGCGCCGGCTCGCCCCTCAAAATGGCGGCGGCAGTGACGCGCCTGCGTACGGAACTCCTTCGCCGTCGCGCCACGGCCGGCGGGAAGTGAGGTTCTCGGAAGAGCCGCCAGAAGTGTACGGCGACTTCGAGCCCCCGGTGGCCAAAGAAAAGTCCCCGGGGAGAAGACGGCTCTCGCTAGAAGAGTTCCGGCCTGAGTCTGCGAAAGGGGAAGTGCGAGGAAGCGCCTACTACCTTCGGTCTCGGCAGCGGAGGCAGCCGCGACTCCAGGGAGCCGAGGAGATGAACACGCGAAGGGCGACCCGCCTGCAGGAGCAGCAGCAGCAGCAGCAGCAGCAGCAGTCACCGTCTCCGGTGACGACCAGGAGAGGGCTACGGGACTTTGATCCGTCTGAAGGTGAGCGAGGCCGCCGGAGGGAACAGTCTCCGCGGCGAGCCGGGGAGCGAGCGCAGCGCGCGGGCGCGGGCGCGGGCGCGTGGGGGGGGGCGGGGGCGTGTGCGCGTGCGTCCCGGCGCAGCCCCTCGCCGGGCAGCGCATCCCCGCCGGGGCTCCCGGGGCTCGCGGCGCGGGGGGCTCCCCGACCGACCGCAGGCGGGAGGGCTGGAGCGGCTCGGGGGCGCGACCGGAGCGGCGAGCTCCGCGCATCGCCGGGCACCGGCCTGCGGGGGAGGAGGGGGCTCCGGGCCGCCTCTCTCTGCGGGCCTTCGCGGGGGGCAGGGGGGTGACGGCGGCTCGGGGGGGCCAGCGGGGCAGGGAAACACTTCAGGCTCGCTTTCACGTCGGTTCCCTCCGTTCTGCGGATGTTGCTACCAAAGCCACTTCCATTTCCTCTAACTCTCAGAGGCCACGAGTCCCCAGCTGAGAGTGATGGTTCTGGGGTAGCCTCCCAGGCTTTTCTCCATCGCTGCCGAGGTCGGGGGAGGAGGAGGGAGAAATTGGGTGAGTGGGCGTTTGGAGGGAGCGCGCCGTTTTTTGAATGGACTTGAGACCCCACCCGAATACTCCTACCGAGGTGGGGGTAAGGCGAGTTATCCTGAACTTGAAGATCCCTGATGCCTGATGAGCTTGAGCTGATCGCTCTTTCTCAGGCAGGGTGGTCTCTGCAAAAATTCGCCACGTGTTTGTTTGGTTTTTTTTTTTTTTGCGGGGGGGGGGAGGGCTTCGATGCAACCTCACTGGTTACTTAGCTTGACCAAGGAAGATTCTGAGTTAGTTTTCCTCTAAATGGGCCGAAAGGATGTTGGCAAAGTGAGCGTGTAGATTTAGGTGAGGCACAGGTGAAGCAACTCCCTTGAGCCTTCCTCTCCCGCCCACTTCCCTGTCCCCTATCTGAATCACGGGTGTAGTTTCGTGGGAGGCCCATGTAAGGCACCAATGAGGTAAAAATCCGGGGGGGGGGGTTTGAATCACAAAGTGATTGCATCCTTGGTGGTAGACCATGGATAGATCGATAGGAAGAAGGAAGTGCATCTTCAGCTCACAGCAGAGCTGTAGGCAACGCTCGTCTCTGCTGACCCATGCAGCACTGACACATCTGAAGATGCCTTGATTTTGAAAACTTTATTTTAAAGAAAATGTTAAGTTAATATGGGGTGGAGCTTACTCCAGACATTTTAGCCTATGTGTATGTTCTATCTCTCTTTTGGGATTAGAAATTTACTGAGGACAAAGATCCCATCCTATTTAAGGTTGATTCCATCTCCTTCAGTATCTGAAGAGCGCTTTGCCCACGATAGGCAACAAATAGGTTACATTGTATTGACTCTGGCACAGAGCCTCGTGCAGTTATAGAAGCTGACTTTTTTAATACATAAAGGATTTACTTCTGTTTTAATAACTCTATAAGGATCTTAAACATTTTGCACACTTCTGCTTTCTTCGACATTTCTGAAACTCTGGACCGTCTTTTAAATTTCTAAATTAATATGGTTTTATTATAAAGCATCAAAGGTGAATAGTTTATTTTTATATTTTTAAGAGTAGTAGTTTTGGTGGACCTAATTACACATTTCTAAAGAATTACTTGCCTTTCTGTTTATATATTGCTGTTAGGGTGCATAATCTGGACCCAAATGTCAGTCTTTTGAATTTTGACATATGTAATGTCTGTTCTTTAGAGGATGAACCATCTACACAAACTATTTTAAGCCAAGCAGTCCCGAAGAAAACTATCCAGAGAATACAAGAAACTACAGGTAAGAAAAGCGATTTTGTTGTTTGCCTTATCTGCCAGCTTTTTTTTTTTTTTTAAGATCTTAATTTATTTATTCATGAGAGATATAGAGAGAGAGGCAGAGACACAGGCAGAGGGAGAGGCAGGCTCCTGGCGGGGAGCCAGATGCGGGACTGGATCCCCGGACTCTGGGATCACACCCTGGGCGGAAGGCAGATGCTCAACCACTGAGCCACGCAGGTGTCCCAGCTGCTCTTTTTTATGTACACATTATAGCCTGATTCATCAAGGGTCCCAAATCATAACTTACCCAGATTTCCAGTGAATCTTTTCTATAGATTGTTTATTGAATTAAGCCATACAGGCATATGTCAAGAAAAGATGGGGTGAATACTTGATAGCTATGAATTACCAGCCACTTTGTATAAGGTAATTCATTCACATAACTCTGCAGGATAGATGTACCCATTTTATAGGTGAGAAACCTGGAGCTCAGAGAAGCTAAGACTCTTCCTTACCATTACATTATATGTGATGGAACCAAAATTCAGACCCAGGTTTGTCTTCTCCAAAGCCTTTTCATTTTCCCCAAGTACCTCATTGTCATTATCCTGTATAATAATTAGCTACTCAGTGAAGTTCATTAGTGTGGTGTGCGTGAACATGCCACATTACCTTCTATTTAAAATGGATTAAGTGGGGGGTGCCTGGCTGGCTCAGCATGAGACTCTTGATCTCAGGGTCATGGTGCCTACTTAAAAATAAGATAAAATGGATTAAGTAACCTGGAAAGTCAAATCATGAGATGATATGGTCAATGTTTCATGAGATCTGAAATGTCATCAGTTGTAAGATCCACCATTATTGTTTTACATAACACCTAGAAGGAAGAAATGCTGCCAATTAAACTGTAATATGCCATAGATGGTATGATGCATCCCAATTTCAGAGATGTTAAAGTGTAAAAATATTCATATCTAAGTATCAGTGTAACAGAAGTAGGCTACATTGATAGTTACTTGCATTTTAAAATTGTTTAAACTATTTTGAAAAGTAGGGGAAAGGATTTAGTTCAGTTATTAATGCTTATTATCCTTATTCTTTGGTTTTCAGTTCCATTAATTCATTTATTTATGATTTCATTTATTTATTCATGAGAGATCCAGAGAAAGAGGCAGAGATACAGGCAGAGGGAGAAGCAGACTCCTCGCAAGGAGCCCAGTGTGGGACTTGATCCTGAGACTGGGACCACACCCAGATGCTCAACCAGCCACTGAGCCACCAAGGCATCCATTCCTTTATTTTCAAATTGCTTTTTTTTTTTTTTTTTTTTTTTGCTAGGGAAGTCCCACAACCATAAATAATGGTAGCTATGAAACTGACTATTGCTAACTTTTTTTTTTTTTTAAACTCATATCTTGACTTCTTTCCTTATCCATTGCTTCTGATAAGATTATGCTTTGGGGCACCTGGGTAGTTCAGTCAGTTTAGCATCAGACTGTTCAGGTCATGATCTCAGGGTCCTAGGACCGACCCCTGCATTGGGTTCTCCACTCAGTGTGGCATCTGCTTGAGAATCTCTCTTATCTTCCTGTGCATGTGCTCTCTCTTTCTCTCTCAAATCTTTAAAAATAAGATTATGCTTTATAATTTGACCTATTCTGTTCTCAATTTATAAGATTCAAGTTTAATTCCAAATAAATACACCCTTTATATTTAATGTCTGTGTTACTGTGTTAAGATTATAAACTCTCTTAGAAAAGTGCTTTGAGTAATAAATACTGAAATTAGATATTTCCAGCCATTTAGAAAAACCATATTCTTGAGATTTTTATTTATAGTAGATTTAATTGCATATCTCTTATACCTAGATAAGCAAACTTTTCTTCTTTAAAATATAGAGTAAACATATATAAAAATTATGGTGCTAAGTAAGTTGACATAAAGATTGTTGAGGACCAGCCTGTAGACTGTTATAAAAGTATGATATATATCTTCAGCATTCTTTTGAGGTTCACATTTAAGAATTGCTAATGAGGTACACAGGGACATAATATTGTGCAAAGAGCACTGAACTTTGGTTGAGTTACCCAGCTACCTTGAGCCTCAGGCCTTTATATGATTTCTCCTGCCTAACCCACAATGCCACTGCAGAAATGATACAGTGTATGCAAAATCACTGTACACAGGAAAACATACAGGTATGAGGGTTTTTTTCCCCTCCTCATGGGACATTACAAGAAATGTGAAGTTAATCAAATTTTGATTAAAGCATTTCTTTTTCTCACGAAGCTTATGTTATAATTGGAAATGGAAAAGACAAAACGTTACCCTATGTAGATTGATGAAAACCATGCATAAATTATCTGGAATATATCAGTAGTTCCCTGTGAACTAGAAATAAGGATAGGTGCGTCTTTGAGAGATTTGGGATACCAAGAACTCAATGTTTTAAAATATGTTGTATCTAGTACTTGGCATGCTCCCATCTCATGCCATAAAGGAGAAAGAGTTAAAGAAATTATTGAATAAATGCTTGTAATGTCTGTCTAGCAGAGGAATTATGATAATGGGGCATTTTTAAAAGATTTTATTTCTTTATTTATAGAGAGAGCAGGGGGAGGGGCAAAGGGAGATGGACAAGCAGACTCCCTGCTGAGTGGGGAGCCCGACGAAGGGTTCAATCCCAGGATCATGACCCAAGCTAAAATCAAGAGTCAGATGTTCAACCAACCAAGCCACCCAGGCACCCAGGAGTCAGTCTTTGATGGAGGACTGCTTTAAGTACAAGTTTAAGTATAGGCCCTTCCTCTTTACAGAATCATAGACTTTCAGTTTAACTTTGGTGTTCAAAGTACTGCTCTAATTATATAGAGGATCATTGATTGGTCTGAGAGAAATTTGTCCAAAGATGCTCTTAAGAATAACTCCTTAAGGAGATAAAGTGAGTGGGAAATATCAGAGAGGGTGACAGAACATGAGAGACTCCTAACTCTGGGAAACAAACAAGGGGTAGTGGAAGGGGAAGTAGGTGGGGGGTTGGGGTGACTGGGTGACTGGGCACTGAGGGGGGCGTTTGACAGGATGAGCACTGGGTGTTATGCTATATGTTGGCAAATTGAACTCCAATAAAAAAATATACAAAAAAAAAAAAAAAAGAATAACACCCTAGAGCAGGACGTGTAGGTAGATCAGTTGGTTAACCATCCCACTCCTGGTTTCAACTTGGATGACTCTTGGGTAATGAGATCAAGCCCTGAGTAGGGCTCCCTCCTCATCAGGGAGTCTGCTTGAAGATTCTCTCTCTCTGCCCCTTCCCTCACTTGTATGTATGTGCGTGCTCTCTCTCTCTCTCTAAAATAAATAAATGAATCTTAAAAAAGAATAAAGACTTAAACCAAGGGGCCACCTTGTAAAACAACCTAGTAAAGACAACTACATCATTTGTCATCCTGTTTTTATAAGTCATGGTAAATGTTGATTGTATTAGTTTAGAAGGAGGGATATAGTTTGAACTCTTGTTCAAAGTTCCAAAATTGAAATATTTTCACATTAAAATAGCCTTTGGGTTGTTCATTCAGTTCAGTCCATGTATATTTACATAACTGTTCTGTGATCAGATTCATTCCTTTCTGGAAATCATGAAGCTAATTTTACAATATGAAATTACATTAGGAGAATTTCATTCACTTAAGTTAAATATTTTTGTTCTAACAGATGTGGTATCTATGTAAGTAAATCATAGATAAATATTTTTGAATGCCTGCTATTTTGTCACAAACATTTGACTCTTTGGCTGCTGAACATTTGATTCTTTGGAGCATTCATTCATTCTCCAGATATTTATCGAGCACCTACTTTATGCCAGTCCCCATGCTAGATGCTGGGGTTGCAGTGGTGAGCAAAAGCAGACAAGGGACGAAGATTGCTACAAAATAAGGGTGCTTGCTATTTTATTCTTTAATACCTCTGTTTGGTACTCTGTCTCCTTCAAGTATCTAATATAAGGCTATGTACATCATGGTGCATATAGAAAATGCTTCTTAAAAGATGGAACTGAAATTGTAATTGGTGTGTATAGATTAAGTTGAGCTTTAGGTTTTTTTTTTTTTTTTTTTTTATTTATTTATGATAGTCACACACAGAGAGAGAGAGAGAGAGAGAGAGAGGCAGAGACACAGGCAGAGGGAGAAGCAGGCTTCATGCACCGGGAGCCCGACGTGGGATTCGATCCCGGGTCTCCAGGATCGCGCCCTGGGCCAAAGGCAGGCGCCAAACCGCTGCGCCACCCAGGGATCCCGAGCTTTAGGTTTTAACTGAACCTGAAAAAGGGTGGGAATACAGAAGAGGAAACAAGGACAGTTGAAATGATGGAATTATGAACATGTACAAGATTTATTTTTAAAGCTATTTCTATAAGTTCTAAATACCTGATGCATGAAACACTAGCAACTAAGATATTTTGTAAAATCTTAGAGCTGAAAGATTTAGGGAAGTCATCTACTCAAAGTTTCCGTCAGTGCAGGGTGTCCTTTTGTTATCCATTCATTATAGTGCCTGACATTTTCAGTGAAATGGAAATCATTCCCTCGCTATCTGTTCTATTTTGGAGATAACAACAATAATTTATTTGCTCCAGGCATTAAGGAGGGCACATGATGAGATGAGCACTGGGTGTTATATGTTGGCAAATTGAATTTAAATAAAATTTTTAAAAATTATTTAATGAACTAAAATCTACTTTGCTATAACTTTCTCTTGTTGATCTGCTTTTTTTGAGCTACATAAAATCAATTTAATTGCTTTTCTACATCTCTTTTAAGATGCATAGAAACATGCTCAGTAAGTATTTTTTGAATAAATGAGTGGCTGGCCCTTCAAACTTTCTCACCTAGATACTTTAAAGGGGACATGGGGCTAAGTCAGTTTTATAAAAACAAACATAAGGCTGCTTATGTAATGGAGGGGACCAGTGATAGCCAGTTCAGAATGGTTTTCACAGTTATACAGAGGCAAACAGAATGTTTTTTTATAGAGACAAATAAACATAATCCAAATTTAAATATATATTGGACTTTATGTTGTTTGAAGCTCTTTGAGAAAACACACCTTGGTTTACTAGGTTAACATTTTATATAATGGTATTGGCTTCCCCATTAACCCTAACCATAGACAGTCTAAAATAAATCTTGGCTAATGTTAACATTTTATTTAAAATCAGAGTTTGCATTTCTTGAGTACATACAAGATTAAATAGTTGGAGGGATTATATTAACTCTCAGGAAATTACCCCCCAAATTAAAATATGCCAGGAATAATCTGTAGTGAGAGTAAGCCCCAAATGGAATAAATAATTGAGTTGGTGCTACAGTGCAAATTTTGGTTCTTAATTGGGAAATTCAGAAAAGTTTTATTTGGTATTCTTTTCTTTTTATATAAATATTGTCTGTTAGAGAAAACTGCATATTTTTCCACCATGTTCATAAATTTTTTTGTGGCACTGTTATATTCCCATACTTAACATAATGAAAGGCTCAGAAAAAATCTTTGTTGGATAAATAGATGATTGTATAATTTAGTATGTTTGACATTTCATATTTTTAAAAATGTTTTCTTTTCTTATATTGGTGAGTGAAGATCCTGTAATCAGCCTGTGTAGACCCCCTCTAAGAAGTCCAAGATCTGGTAAGAGATTGTTTTGTCTATTGGTTTAATTGTTTCATAAATATATTCTATTTCTAAATAGGTTAGTACATGTACTCATATGGTTCAAAATTTTTAAGTTATAAATATGCAGTGAAAGTCTCCCTGGCCCCTTTATCCTTTACCCACTCAGGGTCCTCATCAGAGGCAATCAATGTTTCCAATTTCTTAGGTATTTTTTTAGAGCTATTCTATGGCGATACAAGGAAATTCATGTATAAATGATATTTACCTTTCTTTTTAACACAAACGTTAGCCCAATAAACACTCTTTTCTGCACCTTCCTGTTGTCAGTTTCTATTTTTACTTAACATACTAATATATCTTTCCATATACGTGTATAAAGGGCTTCTTCATTCTTTTCAAGAGGTTGTTCTTATATGTTGCTATGATTCCTTTTGTTAGCATGATGATTTTAAACTAGGATCAGGTGGGATCCCTGGGTGGCGCAGCGGTTTGGCGCCTGCCTTTGGCCCAGGGCGCGATCCTGCATACCTGGGATCGAATCCCACGTCGGGCTCCCGGTGCATGGAGCCTGCTTCTCCCTCTGCCTGTGTCTCTGCCTCTCTCTCTCTCTCTCTCTGCGTGTGACTATCATAAATAAATAAAATTAAAAAAAAAAAAAAACTAGGATCAGGGACTTTTTACTCTTCCCAGCATAATGCTACTAAAAAAAATCAAGACTGAGGCTTTATAGCTCAGGGCTATAAAATTGATCAAAATCATTTACATTTCTTTTTGACTACAACTTCTAAAAATTGTTGCTCTTAAGTTGATTTTGTGACTATGAATGAAAACTAGTAAAATTATTCCAAGCAATCTACTTCTGCTTCATTTTCAGGTTTATTAGCCCATAAGGGTGCTTTATCATGGAACTGAAAAAGAACCTTATTTATCTTTACATTAGATTTCTACTCAATCCTTTCCTTCAAGAAAGAATTAAAATGGTTTTTTTTTTTTAATGGATGGATAACTGTTCTTTTAAGTATTATAATGATAAAGATCTGTTAAGGTTTTGATGAAGAACCTGTGGTAAAAAAACCATATGAATGCATTTCCTTTTAAGCTCTAATCATTTTCTTGCTATCTCTCTTGCAGATTCGGCATACAAAACAAATGGAAATACTAAAATGAGTGAATTAGGTTTGTTTCTCTCTAATTCATTTAGATTCTTTTTGAGGATTTTGATTATCAGAATACAAGAATGTACATATTCTGTCATGGGCTTTAGAATATTATGTTGTTCGTTATCTCAGCTTGTGGGACACTGTCCCTATGGCCATGATCTTTCTTAATCACCCTGCTTTTTATTCTATCTGAAATTATGTTTTTTGTTATATTATTTAAACTTACATATGTATATGTAATAACAAATGCATTTTAATTTTTATTAGACTTTTTAAAATTCACACTCCTGAGAGGAAAGCGGATATCAGCTTATACATTCACATTTTTTCTTAATTTAGAAAGTGAATTCGAGATGTTTTTCTTAGGAAGTTCAGTGTCCTTTGCCACATTTGTTGAACTGGTTTAAATGGTTTCCAGTGTTTGCCTCATGTTGGATGTGAGATACCAAGATCCATGGCTTTAAGTGAACCTACATTGATTGTGGTCGGACTTGGTTTTAAGTTACAGTATTTTTCTATATTTAGAGATGACTCAAAAGGAAGGAAGCTTCCTTTTTTTTAAAATAATGAATTGCAACTTCTTTGAAATTCATCTTTCATTTAAGTTCAGGCTGTTTCTTAGAGACTTCAGGATTTAGTGTCTGGGTACTGAAAATGATCCTTACAGCATGCAACTCATGTGTAACTCATAGCCACCAGAAATTTTCAAGTTCTCTATTCAAAAACTTCAAAAAATTTTAAGTGATAGTATCTTAATTGGAAGAGAAGTTGGAGCTGAAATAATCTAGCACTTTTTCCTTTCTATGCTAGGTTTAGAAATTATAAGTACTTTATAATAAGAACTAACTTTTTAAAAACTGCCTTCTGGTTTAAAAAAAAAATTCTACAGGGTTAATAGAAAATGGCATCCTCAGATTCTTTTTCATAGTAATGTTAGTACCTATTAGAGTATTAAAAATGGCTATTCATGAGCTTGAATACTGCTGATAATCTCCAGCTGTTCTTTATACTCTCCTTCCTGCTGCCCCATTCTGACTCTGTCCTCAAAAGCATGATTGGCATTTAATAATCCTAAAGGTGTCTATACAGGGGATCAGCCTCTGAGTAAAACCTGACCCTGCAATCCTGTTTTTGTATAGCCCATGAACTAAGAAAAGAGACCCCATGTGGCTTGCAAAGCCTCAAATATTTACTATTTGGCCCTTTATGGAAAAAGTTTACCACTCCCTGGTTTATAACGGTGGCAGAAATAAAGACAGCAAATCACCCAAAGTGTCATTTGTTTGTTTTAAGAGTAAATTTTAGAGAGTTACATACTTGCCTGGACATAGATTTATTGTAGCACTATATATATATATATATATATATATATATATGTATATATATATATATATACACACACACACACACACATCTTGTACCTGTATATATATATATATATATATATATATATACACACACACACATCTTGTACCTGTATGGATAGCACAAGAAGACTGTCCCTAGAGACTGTCATGGAGACATAATGACTCTTATATTCTCTCATCTTCTCTGAGAAAGCATGAGAGCCTCACTTCTGAAATCTTCCTATATTTGTCAATAGGCAAAACACAAAATAAGCAAAGTTTTATTTCCTTGAATATCCTTCACTTCTCACACCAACACATTCACTAAGTCTCTAGGAATAGAAATTCTCTAATAATTTGTATCAGAGACCTGGAACTTTGTATTTTCCTTAAAAACTGTGGCCAAGCAAAAGAAAGGGGTACACTTAGTGGTTTGTTTCACCAGAAGAGATAGTTGTAGGTGATCTGTTCTTACAGCAAATGCATAGGACTTCTGAAAGTACCTTTTCCTAATTGGTTGAGATTATTGGGAAAGTAGTACCTCCTCAGCAGCTCCTTTAATTATTGCCATCTGTCTACTAAGTGCCACAGCTTTTATATTCTTTTTATTCCTCTTGGACCCACTTTATTTGGAAATGGGGTGGGAAAGACTCTAGGCCCGCTGGGCCTGCAGCACTGCTTCCACCTGTCTGATCTGCTAGTCAACACTGGAGCCTGCCATACCACTCTAGGCAGCTCTACATAGTACCACAGGCAGCTCATGTCACCTAAGACCAGGGGGCTGATGGTCTATAGCTCCATCAGCAACAGCTGGTTGAGAGTGACCTCTTTGGTCTTGGCCATGAACACAGCTTTCTTGGCACTCTTGTGATCCTATTGGAATGGCATCCTTTTGTGAACCAGGTAATAGGTAAAGTCAGTGGCCAGTATGTCTGGACCGATTGATGCCATGTTCTCACAGTGAATCTGGGGGACACCAGTGCAGGGGAGTGGTGAGTCCTGAGGACCCTGGATGGTGAAGCTGCCAGCCTGAGGCCCAGGCTCTACCCCCCTTAACCAGGACATCCCCATCCTTGGGCAGATGTACTCTAGTACATCTTACCCAGCCTATTCTCCCTGCTTTGCCACAACTTTTATAATATTTTAATTTTTTTATTAAAGATTTACTGCTCCAAACAAGAGTTTAATTTCCTAAAGCTTCTGTATGAGCATAGGGAATAATAATACCTTAAAAAAAAAATAAGTGTTTTAGCCATCTACATGTAGAAGCCAAGGAGTTTAATATAAAGGAAGATGAATACAAAAGAGGGAAGTGAAATTAAAGCTTTCATATCATCCTAGATGCTGCTGATTCATCATAGATTGTATTTATTTTTTTTAAAGATTTTATTTATTTACTCATAGAGATGCAGAGAGAGAGAGAGAGAGAGGCAGAGACACAGGCAGAGGGAGAAGCAGGCTCCATGCAGAGAGCCTGACATGAGACTCGATCCAGGGTCTCCAGATCACGCCCTGGGCTGCAGGCGGCGCTAAACCGCTGTGCCACCGGGGCTGCCCATAGATTGTATTTAAATATATATTCTTTGCAGCTTAGGTTAAAAGGATGAGAATGGAATGTTTAAAACCTTGCATGAAACCTAATTACTAAACACTGATTCCACACTATTTTCTTGAGTTGTTAAGTAATGTTGTCATGGTATGAGAAATATTAACAGGGATCCCTGGGTGGCGCAGCGGTTTGGCACCTGCCTTTGGCCCAGGGCGCGATCCTGGAGACCCAGGATCGAATCCCACGTCGGGCTCCCGGTGCATGGAGCCTGCTTCTCCATCTGCCTGTGTCTCTGCCCCTCTCTCTCTCTCTGTCTCTCTGTGACTATCGTAAATAAATAAAAATTTAAAAAAAAATTTTTTTAAATAAAAAAAAAAGAAATATTAACAAAAGCCCTAACTTAAGAGTTTTTATTCTGTGATACCAAAATCTATTCGTTTATTAGATACACATTTATTTTTAACAACTTTATATATATATATATATATCAACTATACATATATATATGAAATCAGTGACTGTCCTAAATGCTTAGAACCATAAAGATCCATAACATTTTTTTTTCTAGCTCTTACAGGACATGATCTAATAGAAAAGAAAAGTTAGAAAAATTATTGTAATGTGTTAAAATGGTGGTATGTGTATGTGATAGCCTGGAGAAGTGCCCTACTTTGCAGGAGAGGTTGGGAAGGTTTCATGGAGGAAATGGCATTTGACTTGAGTTTTGAAGAATGAGTAGCAAGCAGAATGGGGAAAGAGATTTGCAAATACTTGTAAATGTCTTGTAATAGACATCTTCAGAGTTTGTATAATATGAGAAACTCCTTTGCATTAGAGTCAACAGTCTCTAATTAGCTATCTCTAACTCTGAGATATCTTATGCTAAATGACTTTAGGATGACATTCTAATAGTAGAGTTGGAATTCTTGACCTAAAATGAAAACCATGTTTAAAAAAATGTGAATATAGGCAAGACAATGGGTAGACTGACATGATGATGGTTATTATCAAATCAAATAATCCTATGGGATTTATTTTTATTTAGAACATCCAATCCATAAGATATCATTGTATTATGAATGAAGCACAATGATATTAGTGATACTCTCAAACCTTGTTTCACATTATTGTCTTGAATATATTGATAAATATTGTTAGAAACATAAAACTCTAAAGAAAGGACCTTTAAAGATTAGAATCAAAGTTTTAAAAGTGTTCAAAAATAGATAAAATCCATGATTTATTGAATACTTATTAAGTGTATAAAAAATAAATGGGGAGGTCCCTTGTGTAAGTTGATGAAAAAATTCTTAAATTCTCCCCAAGCTAATTAGATAACACATACATAAACAAAGGAAACTGAACTTTAAGCAACTTGTATATGAGGGATTAATTATTAGATGAATTGTCTCTGAACAAATTGACCTGGAGTTTAAAAAGTATCCAGAAATAAATTGGGGTCTAAAAGGGAGAGATAACTGCACTATTCATTTTTTGCTGGTAGCTCAATGAAGGAATATACAGATTCTAAAATCAATTCAGCTTTAAATTTTGCTATACCAAGTAATTTTTAAATTATATAAAATGTAATGCCCACTATAAATGTAACTTTAGCAAAGCTGCTGTTTTAATTGAGTTATACTTAGAAATTATTGGAACCTCAGAAGAGTTCAGCCTTCTTCCTTTTCTTCATCAATTTATTTTAAAAATTATTGAGATTTCTGGTTTCCCTCCCGTCCACATGTAAGAAGCTTGGAAGTCACCATGCCAGCCTAATAACAGATAAACACAACTGAAAAATCAAAAACTTTTTGGGTATGTGAGAAAGGAGAGAACACAGGACAAACCCCTGCCTCCTAGAGTAGAGAGACAAATACAGGTTATCATGGCTTCCCAAGAGCAAAGGCTCAGTGAGACCTCTGCAGGAACCAGTTCTGTGGGGGGAGAACCTGAACTGTAACTTATGAATTGCAGGGTGCTCAGTGCGGAGAAGTTAGAGTTAAAAATGCCTAGGGAACCCAGTTGTCACAGAGTCCCTACTATACTGTGAGATTTACCTCTAGGAACTTGACCAAATCATGCTTTGGAGAGGAGAAGGGGGGAAAGGAATCATTTTTAAAT